GTTTTCTTTTCACTTGTCCGACAGCATGAGTCACAGTTGCCAAGCCGACAAGGAAACTATTTGCAGACTATAGCACCTATTGATGAGTGTTTCAATCTGCGGTATTTGCATAGGAAAGATGCTGGTCGCAGGGTAGCCTGGAGAGTTGCAGAATGCCTGTGAGGGACACCTACCATTCAAAAGTACCTCAGACTGTCACGATCCGGAGCCTTCAGCTCACTCTGACTGCTTTACAACTTGAAATAACAGTGACAAATTTCTGCATACAGAAAACATAGTTTTATCTACATTTTTAAGAAATCTAAAAACATGTCCAGGAATTGAAAGGCAAAGATTTCTTCTGAGTATGTATTTGATGGAGGCGTGTGTGTGTGTGTGTGTGTGTGTGCGCGCGTATGTGTGTGTCCTCTTGTGGAGTTGTCTTGTTAAGGGAATTCTGATTTTTTCTTGCTTAGGGTGACTTCAACACTTCTTACTCTTAAACCCCAAGCCAAAGGTAGAAGGACCCAATATCCTCTGTGTCTCAGTGTTTGGAATTCCTGGCCCCCAGGCTACGAACACAGTCTGTATATTTAACTCTAAGGAATTCACATAAAATGCTGACATGTTTTTATTGTGGATATAGGGCAACTATTCTGAACTTATAAAATTAACTGCTTTCAAATATTTACAAGGAAAGGAAATACGGTTTAACCTCTTTTCCATTTGCTATCTTTACTAGTATTTTCACTCTTACCAAAGTTTGATGGAATTTACTTCTTTGTGATGTTATGCTGTAAAGTAAAAATCAAAACCCAAACGTATTGTTGATATCAGCAGATATTCTGATTCTATCTTCGTCTATCACAGTTTAGAGACATGGAATCTGACAACTAAGACTTTAGTTTACATTGCGTATGAAAAGTGGGAGACAGGTATTTTGTACTTTTCTGTCAGAAATTGAGCAAGTTCAATAGCTCTTTTAAAGATACCTAGAGAAGGACCACAAAAGCAATCTTAATTCTAAGATAACTGTTTTGGATGGTAATAATGAAGAATGATATTACAAAATTAGGACTATGAAGCTATGTCATCTATAACAACACAAGGAAGCATTAATTTTAAATTATAAATACTACTGAAATTTAGGAAGAAGCAAAGGAATGATTTTGGATTAAGCAGAAATGGTTTAAATTTTGCTCAGCCTGCGTGAGAGCATTTTAAAAGGTAGTACAGCTTCTCTTTCTACTGTATTCCTACTGTCAGCTTTGCCTTGTTTAACACACGAACAGAGCAAGTGCTTCCTCATCTTATACAATGATGGTCATTAGCTTCTGGGCTAAGGAAACTATATATTCCACATCATTTGAACCAACCAAAAAATCGTACATGTGTGAAACATAATGCATACTATTTTTTCAAACACTCTCAAAATCGAGAAGCATAAAAATTCTCACCATTTTTGTTTCATTCTATTCAGTTTTACAACACAGTTTTTCAGGTTGTGTGTGTGTGTGTGTGTGTGTGTGTGTGTATACCAGGGATTCAACTCAGGACCTTGCACTTGCCAGGCAGGTAAGGCACCACTGAAGTAAAATCCCAGCCCTACAATACAGTTTTTAACTCATCATTATGCTTACTCTTTTCAAGTTAATACTATTTAATTGTAATAAGTGAAAATTTTCCAAGAATTAAATTCCTAAGTTAATACTCTAGTTTTTTCTCATATGTTTACAAGTCTTTCACTTGGGGTGGGGGTTTCCATATCCCATATCTATTATTCATGACCTCCCCATATGCATATAACACAACCAATGAGATGCTACAAAATTCTCTCAGAACCTTATAGGAAGTGGAGCAAATAGCTGTGGCAGACTAAAGATGATGGAAGATATTTACCCACTATTAATCTACTTATATCCATCTCCTTTGTATCTCTTTTGGCCTACTATAGTAGTCCTCAAATTTTAATATAATAAAAATTACATGAAAACCTTGTTAAAATGTTTCCCGGACCTCACTTGTAGAGATTATTGTTCAGCAAATAGCATAGGACTCACATATTTATATTTCTCTCAAATCCCCAGGGGAAGCCAATGTGCTGGTTTGAAGATCACTGGTCTGCTGGTATAAAATTCATAAATATCCATGGCTGAGTCATCCTGGATCTTCTGTCAATACACCACAGTACTTTAGCTACCACCTAAAGGTTAAAAGTAAAAGAAAGCAATACTGTAAACATCATTATAATCACTTGTAAATCATTGTTTGAAACATCTTCTTAGCCCTAAACAAATACTTAAGATAAAGGTTTGCATTCCAGTTGATTTTGCCACTGAATGCTGTGCAGCTCAATTTGAAAAGAGGATTTTTAGGACATCCTTGGTAAGTGTCATAAAAATGAATAAACATCACTGATACAATAAAATGATGAAATATATATAGTTTAGAGTCTCTTTTTCCCTTCACCTTTCCCTTACTTTTAATCTATTTTAGTGAAAATGTGCTCATAAAAAATGATGAAAATATAGCACAATAGTCTTACAGCAATAATATTCACATTATATTAAAATACCTTATTACTTTCTCATATACCCTGACACCTAGCCAGGAGAAAGTTTTAAGACTTCATCTATATATAAGTTGTATTAGGTAACCAAATATTCTTTCAGTTCAATGTAATACACAGGTTTACAGATAGGAGCAGTAAAGACATGATTCATAGGGCAGTTATCATGAGCCTTAGAAAATCACTGCTATCAACTTTTACAAACTAACCCTATTATACTTTTACTATACATATATTAGGATTCAGATAAATTCTAGTTAAGCAGCTGATTTAGAATTGAGCCGGGATTATTAATAAAACAAACTTATTTTAGTTGTAAGCTAACAATATTAAGTCGACAGCCAAAAATAACAAAATTTTCTTCCCCAACTATTGAAATTGAAAGATTATCTAACAGAGCTTTTTCTGACAGAGACATTTATGTTACCACTTAGTGCTAGTTTCCTGACCAAAGCCAAATAGGTCCATTACTGTTCTCTGTGGTTTGTAAATCGGTACCACTTCTTATATATTTAGCAAACATGATTTTTGCTTCTGATAAACAGTGTTGGATGATCATGAAAGGATCTCTTCAAGGATAGGCTTTTACACAATTATATAAACATACTAAAATGTTGGATGAGTTAACATAGTATATGACATCTCAGTTGACCCAATATATCTGTAATTGAGCCCAGTTCTTGGCAATAGATTTGTCACATCCCTGCCACTGAATATTCTAGTAACTCTTCCTGGTGTTCTGTAAGGTTTTGAACTTATTTTAAAAAGTCAACATTAAAAGAGATGGGAGAGGCAGAGGGAAGAAAGTGAAAAGGAATCATCAAAATGAAGTAAATG